CCAAAGATACGCGAGTCTGCCGGGCTCTCCTAGGCGTCCTTTGTGCTGGGGTGGAGAGTATGCTCGCCTTCACCCCGCTCCTCGCAGAGAAGCTTGGGCTGGGGCCCCCAGGACCTGCTGCCCTCTCGACTGGGGCACTACTGTCCGGAGGTCCTGCCCACGCGGGGTTTTTATGCTCGCTGCACGCTTGGCTCTCCATGGGTACATTTCAGAAAGAAGAAAAAAATAAAGTAAAACATCCGCCCTCTCCTGCCCTGCCTAGAAGATGTGCATCGCGTGGGTCCCGCCGTGTATTCTCATACTTCAGTATCTTATTTTTAAAGTGGGCTTAGGGCCGGGGATTTGGCTCAGTGATTTGGCTGCCTGCTTCAAAAGCGAAAGGGCCTGAGTTCTATCCCCGGTACCCCCCCACAGAAAAAAAAAAAAGGTGGGCTGTGGCCCAATGGGGCAGAGCGAGCCACAGAGGAGCCTTCTGCGCTGGGCATCCCCTGGGTCTTAGGGCCTCTCTGGGTCCTGACCTCAAGCCTGGGGTAAGATGACAAGGAGCTGGCCTATCTAAGGAGATTCAAGAACTTGAAGGCACCTACCATTGGGGAAGTAAATCCTTAACAGTTTTCAAGGCTCTGGGAGAACTGTGCAGCCGAGCTCACTGACCTGCCCAGGGTGTGGTGGTTTACAGCCCAAATGCAGATCCTGACTGGGGCCCCAGCCAGAGCCAGGAACTGCAGTGCTACTCCTGAACCGGGCTTCAGACCAGGGTTCCCCACAGCCTGCCTCCATGTGCAGATGCCCCCGTCGGGCCCAGTGGGAGAGCACTGCCATGTGCTCAGTTAGGTGTCCTCCCAGGCCAAGCAGGAGCCTTGCTGGTCACCTCTGGCTCTGTTGTTGCCCCTGGGGTGTTCAGAAGAGGAAGTTCTCCTGAAACACCTGTCCTCAGCCTCCTTGCCTGGGAGGGACCTGCCAGGCCCTGTGGAGTGCAGGTGTGGACACCCAGCCCTGGCAGCTTGCTGGCGCTCCTAACGGCACACTAATGCCATGCACTGCCCCTCCATTAAATTCTAGCAACTGTCAGGAATGGAGCCAACTGCTGTAAGCACTGCCAGCTCCTTGGCACAGAAAAATAATTAATTGTGTGTTGGTTGGAAACAGGGTTCACTGGTTCCTTTAAAACTGTCCAAGCATCTCCTTCTGCCAGCCTGCTCCCCGCTGCAGCTCCCACAAGCTCTGCCTGTGCACTCTGGGAAGCGACTTTCAGAATGCTGTGCAGCTCTGTCCCCGAGTCCCCGTTCCCACATACACTGGAGACCAGTGATGGAGGAACTCGTGCCTTGGCAGAAGGGCCCAAGACTGCTGAGGACAGATGGCACAAGTGTGAGAACATGCACGTGTCACATGCACCAGCTGTTCTTCCAGACAGCACCTGGCTGCAGAGGCACCTGTTGCGCCGATCTGAAAATAGAGAGATGCCTCACTCAGCCTTGTGCTGCCCCTGACCTGCGCCACCCTGGGTGAGCTGCCCCTGGCTGTAGGAGACACATGGGGTGCCTTTTCAGACTGTCCTCCTGTTGTTCTGTTCCTCATGTCTTGGAGGCATTTGGGTCTAGGTTTCCTTTAGCACTTGCAAGATCCTAAGAGTCACTAAGTCCTTGCCATGTAAATTTTGATAGTCACTAACTTTGTAAGCCATTAACTTACTGTTGTTCATCCTAGTCAATCTTTTTTTCCAAAAAATACATTTAAAATAATTTTTTTCAGCACTGGGGACTGAGTCCAGGACCTTCATACTAAGCTACATTCCCAGCTCATTTTATTTTTATTTTGAGACAGGGTCTCACTTAGTTGCTGAATCGTCCAGGCAAGGCTCAGACTTTCAACCTTCCCGATGAGGACTGCAGTCCACAGGTCCTCCAAGGCTTTTGCTTGCTTCCCACGCTGATATCCCCCAATCTGGGACATGCTTTGTGCTTTGAATTAAAAACCTCAGAGCTTAACTGTCCTGGTTGGGCGGGTTTCCTCTTAAAACTGTTCAAGTCACCTGTATGGCAGGAGCCTCAGCACGGTGGGGCCAGGGTGGCCAGGTGGACGAACCAGGCAGTGTGAGGACCTGCACATGGGTGTCCACCATCGCACCACCCCAAGGAAGTCAAGACACTTCCTGCTGTCCCCTAAATCTGTTCCAAATCACATTGCTGCCACCAAAAAGGAACACTAGTGGCTGTGATGGCATGTAAGGTTTGACCAGACACAATACCCAGTTAAAAACAAACCACTGACCCACTGCCAATAATAAAAGGACTAAAGGCCCTGACTTCCCAGGCATTTTTAATGAGTGTCTGCAGAAATAGATCCTCTCAAGCGCATTTGCTTAGGCTGGGTGGAATAGTGACTCCCAAAGGTGTGAATTGGACAGGATCCCTTGTCTGGCAGTATGTCCTTGTGAACTTCACCAGCTTGAAGACTGGCACAGGCTGAATTGTGTCCTCCAGAAAGATGAGTTCTCAGGTGGGACCCTGTTTGGCAAAGGCCTGTATAGGGGCCATCTGATTAAGATAAGTTCGCAGGCCTTGTCCAGTGTCCAGGCAGGAAGATGAGCTGGGATGCATGGGCGAGGTGGGGACTGCAGAGCAAAGACACTGAGGATGCCGCCATATGAACTCTGGGAGACCCAGAGTTCCCACGGCTCAGAGGTGCCTCTTGCTGGCACGTGAGGGCCAGTGACAAGGTGGGAGCACGGCCCTACTGTGCCTGCTTGAGGACTTCCTGCTCCAGCACCGAGCACAGGGAGGACTTATGGGCTCCGGGCCACAGGCTGCACAGCAGGCCCAGGACACCGGGGCAGGGTTTGTGTCTTTCCTCCAGGGCAGCTGCCAGGATGCTGCACCAGCTTAGTCCACTACAGACTGGTTCCTTTTGAATTTGCAGAAAGATGACTTTGAAGAAGATTCAAGCACAAAGCTATAACCCCAGTGCTGGGGTCACTGGATGTACACTCACTGTGAGCTGAGCACAGGTCCTTGGACCCTGCTCTGGATCGGGGCTGGCACTGACTCCTATTGGGTGAGGCCCTTGCCACGCTGTGGTTGCATGGCACGAAGGACCCCACCGTGCTGCCTCTCCAAGGCCCCAACTTGTCCTGTTCTGTCCTCCTGAATAAGGTCTTCCTGCAAGAGGACACAGTGCACCTTGACAAGCCAGCTGGGGAAGGGCGTCGATGACCTCCGTACACTTCTGAGTGAGCAGAAATCTAACCACCCAGCAAGTAAGCAAACCTCGAGTCTTCTGAACAGACCGGCAGTCTCATTCTAGATCTGCAGGTTCCAAGAAAGTGTCTGTGGAGAATATCAAGTCACGCGTGTCTGGCCTCTGCAAAACTCCAGCCTGTCAGGTGCTCCTGCTGTAGGCTCTACATTCTTGAAGGCGCAGGTTTTGATCAGCCTTGATGCTGTCGGGCTATGGTTTTTGATACCAGGTCCCGGGAAAGGGGTCAGCCAGGTGCGAGTGGCTCCCACTTTCTCCTTAGCTGCTCTTCCCCATCACAGGAGAGCCAGAAAGTGAGTGGGGCACTGGACGGCACACGATGACATGGAGCCTGCAAGCCCTAGCTTGTGTTCCAGCCCACAGGCTGTGCTGGCTGGCCAGGGAAACAGAATGCAGAGTCCAGAGCTCCTGAACACGAGAAGCTACTGCTTTCTGCTTGGTTTCTACCTCACCGCTTTCATTTGCTGCTCTGTGACCTGGCCAGACGCCAAGCAGAACAGTTGGACCATTGTGGCTGAGCCTGAGCCTTGCCCCCCCACCCCCCGGACCCTGGGATCCCAGCCGGCTGTCCTGACAAGATTGTGCTGGGGAGAGTGCAGCCCCAGCTCCCTTGGCTGTTGATCTCCAGATAGCGAGGGGCCCCAGCGCCTTACCAGGCAGTGGCCGTGTCTCAAGTCACCCTAGGGACATGGCGGCGGCCTTCGTTCACAGTCACTCCAGGTAGGGGCTTCCGAGCCTCACTTTACAGGGGACCAAGACGAAGCACATTGGCTGCCAGAGCCCAGGACAGCTGCCCAGAAGCACGGCTGCTGTGGCTGGGTGAGGATACCATGTGCAGGCACACACGTGTGCATCCTCCCTGACACGCTCATGGGTGCCTCGGGTTAGTCTCTCCCAGAGCCACAGGGAGCCCAGCTGAGGCCAGGGTGGCCACCAGCTGCCTCCTCTGTGTCTTTCTACTTGGATAAACACTGTCCAATAGCTGCTGAGGGAAAGCAGCCATTAGAGGATGAGTGTGTGCATCTGTGCATTATGAGCACGTGTGCAATGGGAGACACAAGTGGTTTCCTTACAGCTGTCCTGAAAGCTGCGTCCCCACACACTGGGTGCACAGTGCACAGAAGCCTGCAGAGACCCTCTCGGAGCACCTACCCAGCTTCTCCATGAACCACTCAGATCTGGGAGAACATGAGGGCTCCGCCCCCCAGTCCTCCCACAGCACCAAGGACTCATGACACAACTATGGCTCCCCTCCGAGGTGTACCACAGCACACCTGGACTTGAGCCGGGCAGTCTTCCTGGGCAGGGAGGCCCGACCCCTCTGGCACAAGGCGTCCCTGGTGGCTGGTCCCTGGTGAGGAGCTCTGAGCAGGAGCCTTCCGGATGGCTGCAGCTGGGCCAGGGGGGTGGGGGCCAGGGAGCGCTGCAGCCACTGTGATTGGATCACCTGGGAGGCAGACCTGAAAGCACCAGGGCCAGAGCAAGGTCGCACAGGATGACACGCCACCCTGAGGATGGCAGTGACCAGCGACACCACCCACACACATCCCGCACAGCGCCTGCCTCCCCCAGGCAGCCTGTTTGCAGCCAGGATGGACATGGGTGGGGTGAGCTCTGGTCTCAGCATGGCCCATGCTCTCGCCAGGCAGCCCGGAAGGAAGGTCTGCTCCTCCGCCCACCACACTCCCTCCTGGCTGCACTCGCCTCCTGGACTTTATCCACAGGAAAACATGATGCAATGCTGTTTTTAAATAAAAATGACTTTATTTATGCAATAAGAGAGCAGCTAAGAGTGAAGAGAGTTTGGGGCATATATACAACTCAACAAATATTTGGCTGTGGTAAAACTGGGATTTTCAGTCGCCCGCACGGTGCTGAGGAACATTCCCGGCGCTGCTCGCAGTCGGCTTCTGTCCCCCTCACCCAGGCACGAACACGAGATGAAGCAGCTCCGGCACAGCCGCTCAGGGTTCACACCGGCCAGCGCCACAGCCCCGGCCTGTGTGCAAGCTGCGTGTGCCACGGGGGGCGTCCACACACCAAGTAGCCTGGGAGGGCTGGTCCACGGGGGGGCCGCATGGCTGTCAGAGTGGACCCTGCTCCAGACCTACGGGAGTCTGACGCGATGCCCCCACGGGGTGCAGGGGACAGGAAGCACCCTGTGGCCGGGTCACTTGGGGCTCAGTGCTGGGGGGTACTGAGCCATGTGGTTCAAAGCACAGATTATATGTGAACGGCCGTTGGTACCACAGTGACTACAATGTGGCTGTTAATTTTTAACAGGAAAATAGTGCTTTGTTAGGATACAAAGTAGACGCAGGACACAGCGCTGCGTCCGGGACAGGTGCCTGTGACCTGGCTCTCGACTGTCCCCAGGGACCCCGGAGTTTATGACTACGGTGGTGAATCAGAGGGCTGTTACCAACGCAGCGTCCTCCATAGTCTCCGGGTGAACGGACACCAGTACAGGCTTCAGGAAGAGCACGGCACTGTCACGGACACATCAGGGACCAGACCCTGCAGGCTCTGCCCTCCTGGCACCTGGGCCAGTGCTGCGGTGTGGACAGGGTAGTCAGCAGGCAGGCCGCCCAGTGGCGTATTGCACATTCCCTCCCTAACACGGTGTGGACGCAGCGTCCCCTATGCACTCAGCAGCGGGATCTGCCAGACCATCACGGAAGACACCACCTCCTCTGGGGGCGGCGGCCGTGCCTTCCTATGCACACGCCGGTGGCCCTGGCCCCCGCACACCACCAGCGCCGAGCTGGCCTTGGCCCTGCGGGATGGCCGCGCCCTGCTCTGCACAGGGCTAGCAGGGTCCCTGAGGAAGTCGCAGGCACTGCTGTCCTCAGCCCTGTGCTCCAGCGAGCTAGAGCCGTGGGACAAGCTCAGCGACCCTGATGATGATGACAGGTCGCTCTTCTGTGGCCCTGGCCCTGGCCAATCCCCCAACCAAACGGCTGTGTCAGAGTCCTCCTGGCCAGGGCACGAGGCGGCCACCTCCCCAGAGGGCTGGACCTTCTGCTCCTCATCCAGGGGCTCAGGGCCAGGGAGCGGGCTGTCCCTGGCCTTGTCCTTGTCCTTGTGTGAGGCGGTGGCCAGAACAATGAACTTGACGGGGCCATTGTGTGCGTGGTAGGAGACCATGCCTCTTCCTGCAGGGGACAAGGGCAGCAGAGGAGGTTATGGGAGGGACAGGTGCGGGCAGGGTGTCACCCTGCACGCCTCCCCATGCAGGCAGCACATGTCCCCACTGGGACGGACTCCATGACGGCGGTGGCCGCACTTGCTCACTGCACTCCTGTGGGTCTGAGGAGAGCTTTAAGAACGACCATCCGAAAGACAAAAAGGGGTTTTCTTCAGTGCAACTCAGGTCTGACACCCATGTCATACTTTAGCGCATAAGCTGGACACAGCAGCATACTCTGTAACCCCTGCCCCTGGGAGGCTGAGGCAAGAGGATGGCACAACTGGGCGCAGTCTCGGCAACCTAGACTATCTCAAAACAGACAAAGGCTGTGGGTGTCGCTCAGTGCAAAGTACTGACAACCAAAGTTTGAAAGTCATGTTCTAGTTTTCTACATTAAATACCTTTTATTTGCTCTATGGAAATGTATTTAATTTTCCTAAGCCTGAATTAAAAAACTGAGACTGAAATGTGTCAGTTTTAAGAACAAAATGACTGCACTGTCAGCAGCTTCTATCCTTTTCACTGCAAAAAGTTTCTGGGGTGTAGAAAAGAATAAGTGCAACAGTTCTGGTTAAAATCGGGACTCTTCAGTTCCTGGCTATGTGACCCAAGTGGTGAGCTGTGGCAGTGCGGTTTGGCTGTCTCCTCTGGGTCTCCGCCACCCGGATGCTGGTGCTGACACAGGTATCAGGCTCAGGCCCTCCTGGCCCAAGGTCTGCAGGAGGCCGAAGAGGCTTTGGCCACCCTGGCCACCTCAGAACTGCACTGTCCCCGCCCTAGGGGAGTGGTGCCAGAGGAGGCTACAGCTGGCAGAGCTGAGGAAAGTGAGGGAGGCAGCTTCAGACCCCTGGCTCCTTCTCTGTCTCATCAAAGACCCGTTTTCCCCAAGCAAGATGTGCTGAAGGGAGCCACTGAGGGCAATGAGGTGGCATGGACACAGGTTTCCAGCACAGGAAAACTAGAAAAGCCAAGGCTGAGGGACAGGCACATTAGTGGCACTGTCCACTAAGTATCCCTTGTACACTAAACTCCACAAGACTATGTCACACATCCCAGGGACAGCAGGCACTACTCACCGGTCACCTTGGGGATTCCTTGCAGACGAGGGACTGGCAGGGCCACGACAACCCCCAGACTGGTGCCGACCAACAGCAAGCCGTGGCAGACGAGCAGGCTGGTCACAGAGAGCCGCTGGTGGCCTGTGGGGAGAAGACAGCGGCTCTACAACCTGGGCTGGCCCATGGCAGTGCCTCCCTGCACTCTCTGGAGATGCCACCTGCAGGCCCAGGGACGTCCTGGGACACTCACCCTGTGCTCCTCTGCTGGGTGAGAGGGAGGGTGGAGGGCACATGAGACATCAGCAACATGTCCCAGGCCAGGCTACTTTCTGGCTTTGTCTCCAGGGAGAAAGTGACCAACTGGATCCATGTGCTTGGGTAGTCTCATGCACGCGCGCGCGCGCACACACACAAACACACACACACAGACGCCGAGCCACCCTTCAGAAGGGGGGGATCTGTCTCCTGCAAAACCCGAGCTCAGTAGCAAGTAAGGACAGTGGTGCCTGTAAGGTCCACCAGATGTCTGCAGAGAGCAGCAGCACCACAGGACACAGTGCTGGACAACTTAGGACAGCACCTGTGTGATGACGTCTGTGCACCCACAGGGGATGCCTGTCTACACTCTCCCCACCCGACCCTCCACCACCTGCCTCCTGCCCCATGCTTGGTGAGCCCAGACGAGATGCCACCCCCACGGGACTCTCCCTCTTCCCTCTCATCCTCTTTATTGACCCCTGGGCCCCTGTTCTGCTGTGTGGACACAGAAATCATGATGGCCGTCTGCTTCCCCAGCAGGGATGGGGCTGTGGCTCTGCTCCAACCCAGGGAACTCTGGGCAGGGCCAGGGAGCCTCCCCCACCTCCACTGTGGGCCCCACCCGGTACCTGGAAGCATGCCATGCACAGGGGCGGCGATGTTAACGTCCTGAAGGTGCTTTAGTGTTTCCGTGTGGAAGAGGCGGAGGGTGGATCCCGTGGTGAAGGCAACCCAGAGCCCAACACCGGCCACAGCCATGTGGGAGATGACCATGCCTTCCTCCTGGTGGGCCTCCAGCTGGCTCTGGTGGAGAGAAGGCCCCACAGGTCAGGGTGCTGCCAACAACCCTGAGCACAGATCTGAGGAGGCTGTGCAGACAGGCCAGGCAGGAAGGCGTCACAGGACGTGGTGTCCAGCTGCGGCTGAGCGTGACAAGAACAGGGCAGAGACCTCCCACAGGGCCAGGTCCTCACGGGGCTGGCAAGGACACTGGACCGGAGCATCACCCAGGGCCCACAGAGGCACAGTTTGAGGCTCTGCCCATCCTGACCCCTTGCCTGAGACTCATGGTGAGCAGTACCTTTTACAACTGCAGTGTGGGCTTGCAGTGCCACTGAGGTCCAGGCAGCGGGGTCACCCAGAGGTCCTCAGCACCCTTGCCTAGTGGCCTTTGGGGCTCTCTGCTCAGGCCTGGTGCAGGGGGCACAGGCAGGCTCCAGCTGACAACCGGTGCAGAGCAGCAGCGTGACACCAGGGTGTGGGCCTGGCTCTGCTCTCTGGGCCTTTTTCTGCTGGAAACAAGAGTGCCTGGCTATGGGGCCCTGCCAGGGTGTCTGGTGGAAGCAGGGGGTAAGGCAGAGGCCAGGCTGACTGGGCACCTGGGCGGTGCTGCCCACAAGGACGTCATTCTCCATCGTGGAAGAGCAGACACGATCACTGGGCAGTCGTCACCTTAGTGTCTTGGCTGGCCACCCTCTCACTCTTTCCTTTGGTGGGGAAACCCTGCCCTTCTCATTCTTCCCGAGCTGGTCTGCCATCAGTCGAGAGCACCGCACCATGCACCGCGGAAACTCAGGGGTGAGGAACAGCAGGCTTTACAGTTAAGCAGCTACCATAATACAGTTGAAACTAGCTGTGATCCACAGCTCTAAGACATAAACCATGACGTCAGCGCCTGCTGTAAATCCAGAATAATCACCCTGTGCTAAGGGTCAGGCTGGCTTCAGAGCTGCATTGGGGTTTTAAGTCTCTAAAATTTAAAAAGGTATTAAGTCAGGGCAGAAAGGCACATGCCACTGGAAAAGATAAAAGATGAAGCCACCCCAAGCGTTGGAGCAGTCTAGTGACTACTTTCCTATGCGGCCACTCGGTATTTAGAACACGCTTTCCCACCTGCTCCTAATGCCCAACAGGAGGCAGGGGCATTGCCTGCCAGGTGGTAGCACCCTTTGCCGGGGTGATGATCCGAACCCTTCTCAGGCTTTAGGGCCAGGCCCCCCAGCACAGCCTCCACCCTGGAGACCTCTGACCCCCTAGCTTGGCTCCCTCCACCGAGCTCCATGCAGCCCAGGCCGGGCTCAGCCCTCACCATTCTGTTCTGTTCCTGCCCCATGACAAACCCCAGGCCCAGGGAACAGAGACCCCAGGCTGTGAGGGCATCTAGGCCATGGCTCCCACCAAACAGGAACTGCATGAATTTTGTTTTCACTGGGGAGCAGACTTTTGTTCTCTCTATAAATATATTGTTATTTTCATTTGCAAGCTTTATTTGGATTCAAACATAGGATTCTGAGATCGCTAGCATGTGAACTCCAGGCAGCACATGGGCTACAACAAAGCCGCAATTTGGGAAGGTTGAGTTACCCCAGGGGTTTTGGTGGAGGCAATAGAAACCCATCTTCTAACTTTTTAGGTATCAATTTACAATAAAAATAATGCACTGTTTTGGAAAAACATTTTACAGAAATGTATTATTACTTCTCCGTAGACAATAACAAACGCTAACGAGAGGCTGCCAGCTGGTGAGTCTACTCCGAGAAGCACTTACTCCACTGGGGGGATGCAGGGCCACGCCGGGCCCACTGCATGCAGCCCGAGGAGACAAAGGCCCGCAGGCTGGCTGTAAGGTCCCTGATCACCACCAAGGTGACACCCAGGGGTCAAGGCCAGTGAGGAAACTACCCAGCTACAGCACTGGCCAGCCCAGTCACACAGGTCAATGCAGGCTCTGTGCTTGACCAAGGTGCCAGAGACACCAAAGAGCAGACGGAGAGGCACGTAACAGCTTCCGTGAGACGACTGAGCGAAATGGCTATCTGCAAGCAAGGCCCTGCCTCTCCCGTCCTCCGTCACCACCTGGCGGGCTGGGCCCTAGGGACACAGGAGACCCACCGGAACAAAGCGGCTCCAGTTGCTCCTCAGTCTGACCCACAGCTCTGCCAAGGCTCGCTCTCCCCTCCTCATTCTGACGAACCCTGTCATTTACAGCCACTCAGAGGGCCGGAGTGCTCTGGGTTGGATCCACGTGCACTAATTCTCTGTACCAGGAGCTGGAGTGCCACCTGTGTGACTTCGTGGACGCACGCGTCCTGGAACGGGCTCCGTGGCATCTGACGGTGTGACTCACGGACCCTTAGCGGGCTGGCCCGAACTCCCATACTGAAGGACGGAGGTGGACCCAGGAGACTTTCAGTGATGTCAAGCAGTCACTGCGGCACACATGCCATAGGCTCAGCCCACTGGACTAACCAGATGGGTCCTTTCAGGAGCTGTAATGACCAGAGGCTGAAATTCCAGAGACCTACACAGCCGTTTGACACCCTTCACAGATGGGAAACCCCAACTAATACACTTCTTTTCCCACTTGCTGCCTTTTGTGTGAAGGTTAAAGACGTCCAAGCGTGAGAGTGAAACACCACTGAGCCCTGTGTCACCAGGGATGGGGAGGAGGTGTTGGGGGCACAAGGGTAACCTGTCATTATCACGGTAGAAAAGCTGCACAACTGCACACACTCGCCTGACACAGTGGGTGCACGGGACCCCAGCCCCTCAGCTCTCGCCCGGGGATCGTGTGGCACCAGGATGGCAGCAGCCGCATCTCAGTGCATGCACACTCCTGCGGCCTCCACTGCTGCAGAAATCGCTAGCAGCATTCCCCATGGAGGCCCCCTCGGGATGGATCCCGCCTGGGGTGCCAGTGCCGCTGTGTGGACACTCTGCACTTGCCCACCTTGTCTGGGTCACCAGGATGTCAGCGGCTCTCTGAGTAGTAACTGATAACAGTGGAGCACGACTGCCAAACACACCGGCGAGGCCCCTCCTGCGGAGCTCTGCCCACCACTGCCGGCCGGACAGTCTACTGCTCCCTCTGCAACGTGGCCTTCGTGTCGGAGGTCAGCGGATGCCAGTCGGGAGTGGATGTGTAGACGGGAAGGGGCCTGGGGCAGCACAACCACACATGGCCTGCACACGTTTGCGCAACAGGAGCAAGTGCACCTCTGCATCGCGGGGAGGGGTGGTGCAGCGGCTGTACGATGATTTCCGTGCCTGCTGCTCGGTTGCTGCGAGCCCGAAGCTGCTCTAGGCATGGAGATATTAACAGCGCCCTGTTTTAGTATTAGTTGTGTGTGTGTGTGTGTGTGTGTGTGTGTGTGTGTGTGTGTGTGTGTGTGTGTGTGTGTGTAAGAACACAGCTGTGTCGTCTCTCACACACAGCCCTCCCAGTGTTTTCTATTAGGTCGGCTGCCTTCCTAAAGGTTAGCAGAATTCTTTGTATGTTAAGAACAGTGATTCTTGGTCATAATGTAAGAAAAACTTTCCCGAGCTCTTAAACACTTCTGCACACAGTGTTAGACGTGAAAGCTCCAGGATGCCCTGAACGTCTTCTTTCTTTCTCTGCATGGCAGCTTCCGGTACTGGCACCCTGGGAGAGGCCTCCCCAGGCTGAGTGGTAACAGCACCCACTGGCTTTGCCTGGGTCAGTTCCTGTCGAGGCAAGGTGCTCTAGGGGAGGGGGAGCCGCATCCCAGCGTAGATGGCGCACTTTGCACCAGCAGGCCTGCTGACGTGAGGGATGCTGCTGCAGCTGCTACACACTGCTGAGCAGTGACTTCCGTGGATGGGGTTGGAAGAGGGTCAGCCGAGTGTCCCCGGTACCGACTTCCCGCACAGTCTAGGAGGGTCCCCTTAGTGCCCCAATGCCTCCCACGAGGAACCGCGACAACTCACCTGGATGGCATGTGTCTCAGCACCGATGACGGACACTTGGCCTCCAGACGCCGCCCACAAAGTGTCCTCCATCACCAGGAGACTCCTAACCGGAAGGACGCCCAGCTTTAGGACTTTTTGTGGTTCCACATTCCAGGATCCATCTTTAAAAAAAAATTACTTTCAGTTTCATTTGCATACAAATAACCACGCAAGGAGACGGAGAACACAGGTAATGATTTTGATGCTGATGTTTGTTTTTGGTGTCCCAGGTCCCCGGAATTAAAGTCATCTCAAGGAGGAGCCTCTTGTGGTGACAAACAATGACGGCCAGGATGTGTCACCACAGGCGTGTGTCCTGCACCCCAAACCTCAGTTTCCTTCCTTTCAAAGTGCGATAATACTTCCTCGGGCCTCAAACGGTGATTGAGAATTAAAAACGAGAAAATGCATTTACAAAACACTGAGTATCTGGCACAATGAGTGTTCAATACATACCGTTATGTGTAATAAATATAAATATATGAAGGTCATCATTAGGGGAAATTGCATCCAAAATGACTGGGCAAATGTTTACATTTTCCCATTATCTACTTCAATTTTAAACTATCCCCCGACATAAATGGTGCCATGAGGAGAGAGTGTCAGTGTGAAAAAGTCCAAACTGCGGTGAAAGGAGTTCCTCTTTTCTGAAAAACTGCTCCCTCTCCTAAAGCCCAAGGAGGGATGAAATATTTTAGTTTGAAAATACTTCAAAGATCTCTGATGAGATATAGCGCATGAACTGTGAGATAAGAGCTTTCCCTATCAATACAAAACATCTAAGGGAGACTTACTATGGGCAGGGCACAGCCTGGTGGCAGACCACTTGCCTAGCGTGCATGAAGCCCTGAGTTCATCCCCACTGTCACCAAAAAAAAAAGATTTAACACAAATTTTTAGAGTGATGCAATTATCTTATCAATGATCAAAATTAACTCTCCAATTCTCAATCCAGTAACTCAGTCTTCATGCTAAAAACGTAACAGTCATCAGCACTACCTTCAACATCCTAATCAAACAGGCAGCTTCCTCCAGGGAGAACAAGGCTCAGCTCCTCCCGCTTTGTCTGGACTTGAATCCGAGGCTCTGAACACAAACCCTGACCTTGAACAACTGTCTGAGCAGAGTGCAGTCACTGAGAGAAAGCTCTGCACTTGCTCTCCCTTCCCGGCACACTTCAAGCTAGAATCCAACTGGGACAGGAATGCTATTTGGTCACCAGGCTCAGCAGTTATGAACCCCAGTGGGTAGCACCAGCCTCTTCCTCTTCACCTGCTCCAGGAGCAGTGCATTATCCTGTGGTGTTACACACACACACACACACACACACACACACACACACACAGACATGCATGCATGCACACGTGCATACCCATGAACACACTCACCTAGAGGTGCACAACTGCACACACCCTCACACTGGCGTGCACACGCCCATGTATAGACCTTCCTATCTGGCACTCCCAGCCTCCCCTGCAGAGGGGAAGCAGTGTTCTCTGGCTCTCACAGGCTCCCAAGGGTGTGGCATGGCCCGAGAGTGCAAGGCTCCTGCAGCCGGACTCTGTGTGTGGGGGCCCCATCGACAGGACAGGCTGGTGCCTCTGAAACAAGAACCCAGATCACAGGCGGGAAAGCCCACTTTGGACACTTCATCTGGCTAAGGGTCAACATCAAACAACTGAGCACCTTGCTATTCTTTCCACAGGTCCTGTGTGTCTGTCCGCCGGCGCCCTGCCCACGTTGGATCTGGGCCAACAGGGCAGCCTCTGGGGATGACTTTTGCCTGGGCTATACCCAGGTGGGGGAACTCAGCCTGGCCACAGCACTGCAGCCAGACTCCATTACAATACATGAATTTGCTGTTTAGTTTGTTTTTCCGCAGCAATGGGAATTAAACTGAGCTGGACTCTACCACAGAGCTACACCTAATTTTCGAGACAGGGTCTCACTAAGTCACCCAAGCTGGGCTCAAACTTGCAATCTTCTTGCCTCAGCCTCCACAGCAGCTGGGAAGCTCATGGCATTTTCATTTTGAGCCAAGACTTGACAAGGTGGACATTTCCTACCCATCTCCAGATTTCCAGGTCCCTGGCAGCAGTGGGGGCTCAGGCCCATCTGCCTCTGCTGGGGGAAGCAGAGGCCTCTGCAGCCAGGGTTAGGGTGCATCCGGCAGACCTTGGGCCTGTGAGGACAGAGCAGGCCTGCAGAGTCCCGTAGGGGGCACAATGCACAGCACAGCACAGCACCAGGCCTGAAGCAAACCCAGCAGATCAAGATCATCAAGAAGCCCAAGAAAGAAAGAGGAAGCAAAGAGCATAAAATAAAAGGAATTAGAAAGAACCCAGATTATGTGAAAGTCCCTGTACATCTATGTTCTTCTAAGAAGCTTTGTGAGAGAAAGAGTAAGAAACATGGATGGTAGGCGTGTGGGGTGCAAAGTGCCTGAATACACGACCTGCTTGGTAAACTGCACAGGGAATTCCAAGCTCAAATAATCCCACGGTGCTGGAAGAAGTGGACGTCCATCTGCGAAATCAGCTCTGGAGACCCAGATAAAACTTTCGAGTCACTGACATTCCCAGAGCACTGGAGAAAACCGCTCGTCAAGTTGTGACAGCAAATCTCAACAAAGGTAGAAGGAAAAAGAAAACCGCAAGGCAGTTTCAGAGCGGCAACCCCCACCCGAGCTGTTTCCTTGCCTCCAAGCCACACCGGAGCCCCAACGACCAGCTAAGCTGGACAGGCAGGTGGACGGCCGCCCCTCCGCTCATGGGAACCCAAGGACACTGTGCCACACAGGGCTGCCTGGCAAGGAATTGCCCTCGGCATCTGTGCACTTTACCGCACGATAAATTTGGTATTTTCCTTATAAAACTTGAAATGAGATTTATTATTTCCCTCTCTATGTGACCAAAAGGGCCCCACTGAAACACAGGAAGCCAAATGGCAAACTGCTGAAATTAGAGCCCGGGACCATGAAACAATGACAAGGCTCTGCACCTGAAGGAAGCGCAGTACCCTGGTGACCATCACGCGGAGGCACAGGAGGATGCGGAGGGACAGGAGGACGCAGAGCGGAGCAGATACAAGACTGGAAAGGGTCAGCGCCGGAGCCACAGGTCCCCACTGCCAAAGTTGTGGCAGATGTCACCGTCACTGAGGAGCAGGGAGGAAGCCAGGCGAAGTGGGGCACCCACCAGACAGAGAGGGAGGAAGGGGCGCACCCCACACCAGGCCACGGCTCCTGGGAGGTGGTGCCGGAGGTCACAGGGCAAGGGTGAGACATGTCACAGGCTCAGCAGGAGGTGCAGACCCCCACACAGGGTGAGCACTGCACAGAACAGCTGGCTTCGGTCTCCCTGGGTAACTAAGCAGGGGAAGATACCACTGCCGAGTCAAAGGCTCGGAGAGGAACAAGCAGGAGCCAGGACATGTGGAGCCCATGAGGAGTCAGGCAGGAGGTGGGGACATGGGGGGAGGCCTGGGGCGCGTCTGAGCGCCCGCACAAGAAGGTGCTGGTGGACAGGTGTGGGGCTGCAGGAGGGGTCCTAACGAGAAGGGGAAGGCAGCGGCGGTGGGCGAGGAAGACGAAGTGCTCCAGCCAGGGAAGGGGCAACGAGTCCTCGGGATCGGGGCTAAGTCAGAGGGGTGGGGTGCGGCAGTCAGCCGGCCTCCTGGGACCAGAAAGTAAGCTGGGCGGGGGCAGCAGCAAGTTACCTGCGGCCTTGGTGTAGCTGGCCACCGAGCCGTTGACCAGACCGGCGTACAGGCCGCGTGGCGACCAGGCGAGGCTCATGACTGTGGACTTCTCAGGGGTGAAGAAGTGCTGCAGCCTCACTTTCTTTGAGCCTTGGCTGCTTTTGTAAATGGAAATGCTTCAAAAGAAAAGCACAGGTAAATGCAAGCATTCGCTCACGGCCAGCGAGTTCTCAGCCACAGTCCCTCCGTCCTGCCCCTTCCACTCTGAGACACAACAGCCACGTGAGCTCTCTGCAGCTGCTCAATTTCTTTCTTGTATTTTAAATGGAAACACTGAGTTATCAAAAAAAATTAGTTCTTCCTATCTGCGTGGTGTGGTAAAAAAGTACAGTGAATGTTCAATTTTTTAAAAAAAAATGTATGACAGTAACATACATGTTTCCATTAATTTCACTCCAAATACCCTCTCCCCAGACACACTTATCCCACATTCTTTCTGCTCTCTGAAGCAGTTCTGGAGTCCTCTTTCCTGAACGTCTTTAGCTGTGCTGTGTGGCTGCCTTCATGTCTTGAACAGATTTCAAAAGTATACACCATAATGTTTTGACAAAAGCTTGTAAATGTTTTGAATTAATTCAGGACATTCATCAGGCGGCCATGGAAATACTCCTGAGAGAGAACTCCCAGGACTGCTTTAGAAAATGGGAAGTGTCTGACGCAAGGCGGAGCATTTTCAGGGGAAAACAGTAACATATCTTACGGCAACAAAATTTTATTTTTAATTTATATTTTTTAATCTTGGAATTTTACACCAGGAAAATCATTTTAACTTTGCTTTAAATGAGTCTGCTCAACATGATCATAACATAAAATTTGGCTGTCTTATTCCAAGAAGTAAGGTATGGTATATTTTTGAAAAGCATTAATAAAATGAATCCTGAAAAAAAAATCATTGCAGGAGCAAAAACCATGGTGTAAAATGTTCTCTCTCCTTTAAAAAATGAAACAAAAACCTCCCGTTTCTTTTTGGGAGCTTTCTGGACAACTCCCACGAGCCGGACTCTGGGCCTGCAGCCTGCAGTGGCCCTAAAGGTTTCCTGTGCGCCTGCCAACCGCCCCACCAACCCAGGTCGGTGGCCACGACCCTTCCGCATGGCCCCAGGTGCCTGTGCACACAGGTCTGCTACCTTCCCTCCTCTGTGCCCAGGCAGATGGTGGGCACATCGGAGGCATGGGTGGCCATGGGCTTGGCATCCAAGCCCGCGCCAGGCTCTCGGTGCTGCTGCTGGCCGGGCACGTACACCATGCACAGGATGCGTGACTCCACGTTGAAGCACTCGATGACTTTGGGGCTGGAACTTTGGAAGGAGACGATGGCAATCTGACCCATCTGGCTGCTACAGCTCCCAATCTGAAGCAGGGAGGGGAGGGGCAGAAGTGAGCATGCGCACCAGCTTCCAGAAGAGACACTGACTCTCAGGGAGAACCCGCACACGAGGACGCGCCGACAACGGGCAATGATCTGCTGGCAAAGCCGCTTTTTCATGTCGATGTGTTAATTAGGTTTTCAAACATTTCAAAGAAAGGGCCCGCATTTTTAATTTTTTATATACAATAAAAACCACACACCCATCCCAGAGTGGTAAGAACCTATTTACACATAATGTTAAGTCCTAAAAAGTAAATTCATTTTATCATTTTTTTTTTCTTTTCTCCTTGTGCTTGCAAAGCAGGTGGCAGAACCACTGACCTAAATCCCCGGCCCTAAGTAAATTCGTAATTTAAAAACACTAATGCTATTTAACAGCCCTTAGCTAAGGAAATTAAGAACAGTGAATCCCAGAGCGGGTCACTGCTCTGGGACATGCTGTGTTTTCGGCTCTTCTCTGAGAGGAGTAACCCCGCACAGCATCCCCGAGGCGCCTACAGGCACGCGGTGGGCTGGTTTCCCAGAGGCAGCGTCACCTGAGTCATGTCTGTGTGGACAGGACCTGGGCCTCGCTAATAGAAAGCAGCACTGGGGGTCATTGATGCTTTTCCTTCCCACCAGTTCTGAGCAAGCTCCTCCGCCACCAACCCTTCTGGGGAAGGACACGGAGTGCCAGGCCCCCGTGCTAGTCCTGGAGCACAGGGTGTGGCCATGAGGGGACAAGGCACCACAAGCACAAGTCCTTGGGAAGAGCACAGCTCTGCTAAAACCTCAATGAGTAGCCTCTCCCCGAGCTCCAGGGTGGTGCAAGTGAACCCGTGACCAGGCCGCTTCATGGTTAACACCTCCAGGACATGCTGAGCAAGACTTCAGTGGCCAGGAGACAGGTGTACAGTGGAGCAAGCAGCTGGGGAGGACCCGCAAAGTCCAGGGTGAGCACAGTGGGACTGCAGTGTGCCTTCAGGTGGGTCTGGCTAATCTAACTGCTAGGTTTCCAAGGTAAAGAGCCAGCAATGTTTTGGAAGGGGGAAAGTTGAGTCCATGCAATTTAATTGCCAAAACAAAAGAAATAGTCTATTTAGTTATCTCTAGACTGAGTTCAATCTGGTAAAATTTTGGGTGAAAAATAACATAAATAAACATTCTAACTCCTCAGAATCAGCTCCCTTCGGAGGAAGGTTCCTGTCTGCATGTACAGGACAACAGGGAGACCTGTGACTCAGGACACCCAGAACCTAAGCTTCTCCTACACCAACTGCTGACAGCAACTCTTCGTGAATTTGTGCTGAGATAGACTCTTACCCACAGGAAGCCACGTGCCATGGAAAGCGAATCTGGCTGGCTCTCATTATTTAGGTAAGGCTCGGGGTTGTAAGCAGCACATTCGACCTAGAGTAGAGGAAACCAAATGTGTAAAATGGTACTCAGAGGTTTCAAGACTTCTTTTCTTTTTCCTTTGCTACACATATTCTCTTTAATTGAAGGGTTACTCAATGAATTTTAAGTACATAAAACACTAATTTTAAATGTGTTTTAAAAAATATGCATTTGTATGAGTTTACAACAGTAAAACTACCATCCATATCAAGATACTGAACACAGATCTTACATACAAATGCCACACAGTATCTTAAATGTGAAATTTCTTGGAACACCCTTATTTCTGACAAATAAAAAAGTTCGCTCCATTTCTATGACCTAGAATTTCTATTACCTGTAAGCCCCTTTAGCCTTTGTTTCACACAAATGTGACTACTCAGATTAGGGATGGATTTTTCTTTTACTCGATTTCAATCTTATTAATTGGAATGTAACCCAGTTTGAGTGTAAGTAGCCTCTACCTCTTTCAATATCTTTTATGCAAATTATAAAACTTCCTCAGTGGTTTTTGTTTGCTGTTTTTTTCTTGTTTTTTTTTTTCACTTGTTTTAAATTCCAGAAATTTGGAAGGTACATAATCTACTTTGTCCAAGACTCAATGAGAAAGTGACTTACATGAACCACATCTGATGTGGTAATTACAGGTTTCCCAATTCAGTACTTCAAACACAGCCCACCCCCAAGCCAGGGCTTTGGAAACATTGTCAGTATTAACATGATGAACTTGCTAGTTGTTGTTGTTTAAGGAAATAGACCCATACCGTTTCCCAATTTTGTCAGATTATCATTCAGAATGTCTTTACTGTACCTGTGCTCAGTGACAAATCACCTTTATCTAACATACATTTGGCTTAACAACATATCTTTATATTATATGACAAAAATAAAACAGTATTTGCCCAATACAGCGAATATTTGGCATGAACTTTGACAGTAAAACTACATAAGCTAAAATTTTTAGATCTAGCTTACAAATCTATTTGGCATTTATTTAGGTTTATTACTTTCTATTTAACAGTTTTAGGTTTCACGTTCTTAACTAGTTTTAACCATCAAACCTTTCGTACAATTATCTCCCTAATCTTCTTTTAAAAGTTTATGCTGGGTGCAGTAAATCCTTCAGCAAACTTTTCAGAGAAGACTCTTGGTGATGTATTTTCTTAACCAAGCCCTCACTATCTGAGAATGTCTTCCAGCCGCCTTCATACACAAACGCTAACTTGGCAGGGTATTTAATTCTTGATTCTAAATTATCTCCTCTTAAAACATCTCTAGATGTTGTTCCATTGTCTTTCTCTGTAAGAGAAAAATCTGAGGTCAGCCTGACTTTTTCCTCTTTATAGGTAAACTTTATAAGTAAACTTTTTCCCCTTTATAGGTAAAGTATCCTGTCTGGATACTTGCAAACGTTTTTCTTTATCCTTAAATTTTTAAAAAGCCACCAGGATATGTCTAGGTGTTGCTTTCTTCTCATTAAATATTTATTTATTTATTCATGGTACCGGGGATTGAACTCTGGCCCTTTGGCTTACAAGGCAGGTGGCAGAACCGCTGAGCTAAATCCCCAGCCCTCTCATTAAATTTTAAAGGCCCCCTGTGAGCCGAGCCTTCTTATCTGCAGCTTATGGGTTTAGCTTAATTTACTTTGTCCTCTGTGTCAGGTATGCCTAGTTCAGTACACACAGAACAAAACTCCTGACAGGTCGGTCGGTGTCTCTGTCTGTCTCCGTCTGTCTGTCTATCTCTCAATTTCTTTGGCCCTTTCCTCTGCATTCCGTGAGAATTTTTCATTTTGCATTTACATCAGCATTTTATCTTGTGACCAACCTGGCTTATGTGTTTCCTTTAAACAGAAGGCCACAGCCTCACCAGTGTGGTCATACCACCTACTCTATGAAGCCCACGCAGGTGATGAGCTCTCTTAATAAGACGCCCAGTACTTTCTAGATGATCACGGTAGACTGGCACATCAGTGTCAAGAGGTGGCATTTTCTCAATTATTTAGCTCTATTCCCTCCTCCTGAACTATGGCCTTATGACCTTCTCAACAGCTCTTTGCAAATTAGGGTCAAAATAGTCTTCCCAAGGACCAAAGCTGAAGAGCGACTTCGTAATTTCTCAAATGGCATTCTAACATCTAACCACAAACCTCAGGTTCATTACCTATTGAAGCCTAAAACAGGAAGGTGAAATAGCTTAATACATAGCCATGCTGGTCAGAGATCTCAGGATCCCACAGGGAAGCCCAAATCCTCAGATACTCCGGTCTATCACATAAAACAGCACAGGATTTTCACATAATATATTCACATCTGCCCAGGAACTTTAGATCAGCTGTAGATTACTCCTAACCCTAATGTGATGTACTCACCACATACAGAGCCCTCATACTGTACCGTGCAGGTAATGTGAATGCAAAAAACTCTGCACATGTCCTGTACAGACATGCTTCTAACTGAATATTTTTGATCGACTGAGTCCATGGTCAACTGTGTTAAGTCTGGAACATTTAGTGTGAAGAGGTGGACTTAGTCTTTGGCATTTCATTTTCAGAACCTCCCAACCACAAGGAAAGCCAGTGTCATGGGGCACCTCAGAGGGGGCGAGGTTAGAATGGAAGACCAGGAGTGAACAATGGTGCCATCCTTAAAGTAAGGCAACTTGCCAATGCCCTGTCTTAAATACGATTTGTTTAAAGGTCTGAGGAAGTGGCTCAATGCAAAGGCCCTTACTGCAAAAAGGCACATTCCCCAGATCATGGAAGCCACTGAGAGCCACCAGAGTGCTGGTCACAGTGCCTGAGTCCAGTGCTCAGCTGCAGCCCGGGGTCAGGGCTGTCCAGCAGAAGTCAAGGAGGTCAGGTTTGTGGAGCAGATGTGGGAAAGCTCTTGCCTCTGGCAGGGGACCTGAGCCACGCCATGCATCAAGCATGCCTTGGCCCTCACAGGTCACCACTCCACACCTGGCAGCACCACCCAGCACTGGGCACCACAGCCAAGGGCTGGGCCTGGGCTTCAGGCTCCAAAAGCAGCCCCGAGTACCTCCAAGCAAACGCAGCGCCCACCTTGAACTCGGGCTGCCTGGCCACCATCACGGGCATGTGTCCCACCAGGAGCGGGTGCGTGTCCTTCTTGGTCTGACTCCCGTCGTCGTCCACACAGAACCAGCCCAGATGGTTGTCCTCCTCTGCAGAGAGCACAGCCCTGTGAGGCACAGATGCTCCCGCCGTCCCCCAAGCGAGAACGGCAACTCATGCCAGGGTGGCACAGCTTGGCCCACAGGGCCCTGCCACCTCAGAGCAGCCATGCAAGCTGTGTAGCTCTGGCTCCTCTGCTCCTGCGTCAGCCTCCCCGTGCTCAGCCTTCCCACAGTGCGGAGATGCCCGCATTCACACACGGCACAGGGAGTCCCTACGTGCAGCTGACACTGCACAAGGACCAGAGGACGTGTTTCGCTACTGAAGCAAATGGCCGCCTCGGCCTTGAAGAGCAGGAAAGGAACTAGAAGGAGTTTATTTTCACACGCTGTTTCCCTCTGCAGAGAGCGGGCCAGTTCCTGGCTGATCTGCTCTGAAGCTAACTCCACAAGCCACTCAATTATTCAGGGAGAGAAAAAAAAACCTGGCTAGGCTTCCTTCCGGGACAAACACAGCCAAGTCAGGCTCCCCTTCACAACAGAAGTCCCTCCCTCCCCTTCTGCTGGCCCTGACCACGAGGAAACCCACATCTGACCTCTGCCGCTCCTCTGTATTTCATTCCCAGGAGACATTTCAGACTGCATGCAAGGGAGGCTGTCACACCTGTGTGCACACGTGCACACACAAACACACCATCCCAGGAGAGCTGTATAAATCACACATATGTGGATTGAGGAAAAGGGACCCAAGACCAGGAACATGGTATCAGGTCACAGGCAGGCCCTCACCATGCAGGGTAGCAGTCAGCCAGGTGGCACACAGAAGGGCGCCCCTGAAGTACCCCAGGGCCTGGCAGGCCTAACCTTGTGCTTGCCACTCACGTGTGCCTCAGAGCTCTCCTGACTCCATGGGTGCCCCTGGCCTGGTTCCCACGGCCCCGGGATTGCATGTAAACTTCTCAGTCACCAGTGCCAGACACAGTGTTCCCATCCTGAACCCTCCTCCCTGGGGCGGCAGGGACCTGGCTCTCACAGGGCTACCGCCCACCCCACCGGCATCCTGTAGCTCATCTTACCCAGGGCGAGCTTGGCCATCTGCAGGTTGCTGGTCCAGGCCTCTTTGATGGCAGGTGTGAACGTACTGAACACGGCTGTGAAGAAAGTCGGCCGCCCCGACCTGCAGGAAGAATCGGCGGTGCTCGCTCTACCCCGTGAGCTCTGCTTCAGGACAGAGCCGCCAATCCGAGACAACACTGCCCACACATCCTGACAAAGGACCTTCCTTTCCACCTTGGCCAGGTCACTCACTTGTCCTGCTTCCCGGGCAGCTGTAACTGAATTCTGCAGCGGTCGGCTGCTCTGATCTCATCTTCCTTTTTCACAATCAAGCTCTGTAAGCCTGAAGTCCAGTCATGGGCTACTGACTGATTCAAGTTCTACAAAGAAAATGCAGACACATACTTTTAAATATTTAAAAGTACTTAAGAGCTGCTGGTGCAGCCACCATCGCTCCAGTGCCAGGAAGGTAGCCACAGGGGCACCCCTGAACCACCCCCATGCTCTCAGACCTTCTGATTGTGCCAGTCTTTGGATCCACTCTGCAGAGGCAGAGGTGGTCTTAAAGGGTATTTTTCTGAGCTCCCAACTTTGAGCATCTTTGAGCATCTTTAAAGAAGGGGCAGGGGAAACCGGTAGTAGAACTGTGTGGAGTTCAACCCTTCAAGAGGTCGGGAACTCAATCTGGGCCTTGCAGCCTGAGATCAGTCTGCATCGTGGGATTCTACCATCAGCTAGCTGAGGCCCAGGGACTTGGTTCTGCACATGGCAGTGCATGTTGTATATTATGAAAGCAGAAATATAGTCTGAAAGAAGCACTTCAAATTCATTTTTTTCTTTCTTTACCTCATTCCACTCTGCAAATTCTTTCTTTTTTCTGTCTTTTTTCTCCAACTCAGTCTCTTGCTCCACCATATTATCCCTCATCTCCCTTTCTGTTTCTGCTCCTGCCCTCAGATTTCTTCTTTTATCATTTCTTCTCTTTTCTTTATGTTCTTTTCTTCTGTCATTCTACCTCACTCAAGGGATAATAATTTCAAGGGAAAGTGAGCCCCTATTACTGTTAAGGGGATATATTCTTGTACTTATACTTCTACTCTGTCTATCCCTTTTGAATTTAACAGTTTCCTAAAGATTGTGTGGTCATCCTATGTCCACTGGCTTCACTTGAAATCTTCTCCAATTCTTTTACTTCTCTACTCCTCTCCTCCTAACTCTGTCTAAGCCCCAATCATAAATGGTAAATATGCTATATTGAAAAGTTTATTCACTGCAAACATATTTTGGACTGCTTCTTGGTTTTAATTTAATACACACAGTGTAAAGGTGATAGTCTAATGACTACCACAAGTGGTCAAATTGCAAGTTATGCTTGATCATATTGTGTTGCTGTTTGTATCAATTGGGATAAAGGATTGTGATTGATTTAATGAGCTGTTTTCTCTGATATTATGAAAATGAGAATGTCTCTGAGTTATTAGAGACCCAAAAGCTAAAGCGCAACTCTATCAGAAAGATTTAAGTAATAACGCAGAAATTAAACCAAGAACAGCCCAACAACAAAAATAAAAATGAGAAAACACTTAAGCAAGACACAAAGACAAACTTCCAGTTTACCAATGGTAAACAGCAGGGCAAATGAGGATGAAAAGTCTGATAGTGAACCACCAGGACACCATGAACTCAAAGCACAGGAAGTAACAAAACAGATCAATCAGGCTCTAGAAAAATTCAAAACAGAAATAATTTCCCAGATAACCATAGAGATGGTGAGCAAAATGAAAGTTGTGATTCGAGATTGTAGAACAGAAACTGACAAAAAAATAGATGAGCTCAGGACCACGATAGAAGCCATGAAGGCCCAGCATAAGAAAGAAATGGAAACAATAAATGCCCAATATAGGAAAGAAATGAATCCATAAAACAGATTCAAACAGACACCCAGGAGATTAAAAACTCATTGAAAGTGTTCACAGAACAATAAAAGAATGTGAAGATAGAATCTCAGATATAGAACATTAAAATTACAGTCAGTGATCATGAAGAGAGGTCTCTTAAAAACAGTAGGGGATTGTGAGAAATCGATCCAACAACTCCTAGATGATGCAAAGAAGAATAACATAAGACTCATAGGAATACAGGAAGTAGCAGGAGAAAATACAAATGACTTAAAAAAGCTGTTCACAGAATTAATGACAGAAAACTTCCCAAACAGAGGGGAAGAATTTGACATACAGAGAAGTGAGGCATACAGGACTCCAACTAGCCACGATAAAAAAACAACTACATCTAGACATATAATAATCAAGATCCCAGAAACACAACAGAAGAACAAAATACTACAAGAAATAAGAGAAAAGAAACAAATCACATGCAAAGGAAAGCCCATCAGAATCACAGCAGACTTTTCAACACAAACCCTCAGGTCAAGGAGAGCCTGGAGTGAGGTATTTCAAGTCCTAAAAGAAAACAACCTTCAACCTAGACTGATGTATCCTGCAAAACTCTCTTTCAAAATGGATGGGGAAATAAGATACTTCCATGACAAAGAACACCTGAGGAACTTCATCAATACCAAACCAGCACTACAAGGAATTCTAAATGATATACTAGAAAAAGACAATGAAGGTAACAACACCATGAGCCCCAAAACAGCAAATCAAATAGGCAATGCAAGAAACTAAAAGGAGAAAGTGAGAAAGTAAAAAGAGTCAACAAAAGGCCAATAACAGGACAATAATAAGTCAGTACATATCAGTTCTAACCATCAATGTCAATGGCCTCAACTCACCAATCAAGAGAAATAGACTGGCAGAATGGATTAAGAAGAAAAATCCAACAATATGTTGCATACAAGAAACACACCTAGTAAAAAAAGAAGCCCATAGACTGAAAGTGAAAGGATGGAAAACAATTTTCCACACAAGAGGAGCAATCTTACTTGCAGACAAAGTAAATTTCAAACCAAAACTGATTAAAAGAGACAAAGAAGGCCACCACATCCTGGTAAAGGGAACAATTCAAGAGGAAGAAATGACAATCATAAACATATATGCACCAAATATTAATGCCCCCAACTATATAAAAGAAATATTATAAAAACATGAAAAACCAAATAAGCACTAATACAATTGTAGTGAGGGATCTAAATACCCCACTTTCACAAACAGACAGATCATCTAGGCAAAAAAATCAACAATGAAATACTAGAACTGAACTAAGCTTTTGAACTCATGGACTTAATAGATATCTATAGAGTGTTCCACCCCACAAAATCAGAATATACATTCTTTTCGGCTGCACATGGGTCATTCTCCAAGATAGACCATATAACTAGCTCACAGAACAGGTTTGAACATCACAGAGGAAATTAAAGAAGAAATTACACAGTTTTTACAAATAAATGAAACTACCAATACAACATACAGGAATCTATGGGACACAATGAAAGCAGTTCTATGTGGAAAATTCATGACACTAAATGCCCACACTAGGAAAACAGAGCGAGCTCAAATAAACAACCTAATGATGAATCTTAGACTACTAGAAAAACAAAAGCAAGAAAAACCCAAAGCTCGAACCTATGTTTATAGTGGCACAGTTTGTAATAGCTAAAACTTGAAAACAGCACATTTGCCCATCAGTTAGAAATTGGATAAAGAAGATATGGTTTATCTATAAAAAGGAATACTACTCAGCCATAAAGAATGAGAAATTAGATTCATTCATAGGAAAATGGATATATATTGAGGATATACTTTTAAGTGAAATAAATAAGTCACATGTGCAAATACCGAATAGTTTCTCTGGTGTGAAAAGGTATAATAGTACATAAGATCCTAATGAGATAACTGACAATGTGAAATAGGAAGAAAAGGGCTAAAGATGTAGGAAAAGTGGGAAGGGTAGGGGAAAATTAATAAAGGAAAAGAAAAAATATGAGAAAATGAAAAAATGGAAATAAAGTGTTTGTAAATGGGGAGGGGAGGAGAGGGTGAAGGGAGGGCAGGGACAAGGGGAAAAAAATGAGAAATAAGAACCTGTCATTGTAAAGGTACAAGATTCCAATGATGAATGTAACTGTACTGTATACCTAAAATGTACCAATACACTCAATTTAAAAAAAAAAAAGTACTTAAGAGGAGAAAAGGCAGAGTTGCAGATGTAGCACAAACATCCCGGCAGACCCAGCCATACTTGTATCTGACTGTGAAAAAGCCCCAGCTGGGGCCGAGCACAGCATGCACGGCTGCAGTGAACGGCAGTCTCGGCAAAGCCAAGGGAACAGCACCGAAGCGTCCCCGCCTCCCAGCCAGGAGAGGGGCGGTCAGGCGGGCCCGTCCGACATGGAGCAGCCTCAGCCCACTCAAGGTCCAGGCTGAAACAGTATCCCAAGTGCAGGGCGGCCTTACCTGGTAGTTCCCTCTGAGGCTCCCTATCAGCTGGGTGATCTGGCCCACGACATTCAGGTCGTGCAGCAGGTTCTGCAGATCTTGGTAAAGCTGCCCGGGCCCCAGGTAGGCTTTGTCTGCGAGTAAGCAAGGAGAAGAACATGCAGGACCAGACAACCTGTGTTCTAACCTTCTGAAAATAGTAGCCCCATGCCCCTCATCCAGCCTCCCCAGGTTAGTATCGTCATAAAAGTGTAAATTACATAACCTCTATTAGTAAGAGGCACCCAGAATTAATAGTCAATCTGAACCAATTCTGCAATACTTGGGTCACCCAACATCAGAGTTCCCAGCAATCTTTCCTAAATTTAAAGAGAATGGAAATGGTTTGTCTGTGCCGATCACATCCACACTGCCGAGAGGCTTCTGGGGGTTCGTGTGGGAGCAGGAGCTGGGGCGCAGACATGGTCCCCCACTGACCAGGAAACCGGCTCGGTCACACAAGAGCAGAAGCGAAGCCTATGATTTCAATCAATGTGCCACAGGGCCGCCTCCTATTCCCATGTAAACACTGAGCCTGGGCTCACACAGCCAGCCAGAGAGGCGCAAGGAGTGTATCTGGGTACTGCCCGGCACCACCTGCCACAGCACTGTGACATTATGCAGGGCACTGAGCCACAAGGGTCCAGCAGGGTCCGATGCTGCTCTGGCCATGCTGAATTCCTACCAACTCTGCACAAAGGACCAGCGTGTTCATCCTGCACTGTGCCCTGCAGGTGCCTGTATATCCTTTGGCACACCAAACACAAAGAGGGTGTCTGTGTTTCATCATAACCACTTCATAAATACATGCATCCCAAAAACACTCCTAGAGCCATCTGTTACTCTGCAGACACCTGAGCTAAACACCGGATCGTAAGGGTACCCACACTCATGGCAGAAGGGACTTTCATCACTGGTCCAGACAAACTCAAGCATCAGGAAGGCCCACCAGAAAGGCTGTACATCTGTTCCACCCATGAAACATGCCTATCACCATTTCTTTGCCTTGCAGTATGCTTATAACTCGGACTGTTTTTGTCCAATGACACCTATTTGTTTTCATTTGCCAACTTTTTAATTTTTTTGCAGTGTGGGGATCCAGCCTAGGTCCCTGTGCAAGTGATTCAATTCTCTCCCCCTGAACTACATCTCCATCCTCGTTTGTAAACTTGTGAGGGTAAATACCACACACACATCCTTGTAGTAAAACTATAAGTGCTACACTAGCTTGATTAACTAACCAATACCTACTGTACCATTTACCATTCAATAAAACTGAGCCGAAGGAGAACCACGCCTGCTCCCAACCCAGCCGCCATCGCTCAAGCGCCGGGAGGTAGGCCGGGCCCCGATCCACCTCGGGAAGGAGAACCACGCCTGCTCCCGACCCAGCAGTCATCGCTCAAGCGCCGGGAAGGCAGCCGCATGGGCACCCCTGAACCCCCATAATTCCACCCCCCCACACTCTCAGACCTCCTGACTGTGCAAGTCTTTGGACCCACTCTGCAAAGACAGAGGTGGTCATCAAGGGTATTTTTCTGAGTTCTCAACTTTGAACATCTTTAAAGAAAGGGCGTGGGAAATCTGTAATAGAACGTTGCAGAGTTCAACCATTCAGAAGGATGGGGAACTCAATCTGGGCCTTGCAGCCCGAGGTCAGTCAGCGTC